AATATAAAACTCTTAACAAAATAATCAGTAAATCAAAATCAACAATATATAAGAGGATAATATCTCAGACCATGTGGGGCATAACCCAGGAATGTAGGGTTGATTTAACACTTGACAATCAAATGTAATTCACCATATTAACAAACTAAAAAGGAAAAACCCTTTATTCTTCTCAGCAGAGGTAGAAAAAGAATGTGACAAAACCCAAAATCTATTCCTAGTAAAAACTCACTATCAACTAGGAATAGAAGGGAACTTTCTCAACCCGGTCACAGACATCTATGAAAAACCTATATAATAACATGACACTTAATGATGAAAAACTGGACACTTCATACCTAAGATTATGAACAGCACAAGCATGTCTCCTTTTACCACTTTCAGCCAACACTGTAGTGGAGGTTCTGGCAAGTGCAATCCAGTAAGTAAAGGAAATAAAGGGAAACCAGATTGGAAAGGAAGAAGGAAAACAGTGTGTGTCTATCTAGAAAATTCAATGGAATCTACAATCAACCATATTTTTATATGTTAACAGCAAACAATTACAAATTGAAATTTAAAAAAAATTATAAAAGCACAAAACATATGAAATACTTAGGACAAATGTAATGAAAGGCTTACATACTGAAAACTATAAAATATCGCTTAAAGAAATTCTGAAGACCTGAATTAACTTAAAAAGATCTTTCAGGGCTTGAAGACTCAGCATGGTTAAGATATTAAGTCTCCCTAAATCAAACTATAGATTCAATGCAATACCAAACAAAATCTCAGCAAGTTTTTTTCTCTAAAACCTGACAATTCTAAAATTCAAATGTAAATACAAAAAGCCTATAGGAGCCAAACAACATTTAAAAAGAACAAAGTAGAAAGACTAATACTACCTGATTTCAAGGCCTGTTACATAAAGCCACAGTAATCAAAACAGTGTAGTGTTGGAGTCAAGACTGACAGAATAAAAGGTACAGAAATAGACCAATATATACAGGGACAACTGAAATTTGACAAAGATGTAAAGACAGTTCAGTGGAGAAAGGGCAGTCTTTTTGACAAATAGCACTGGGAAAACTGGACATCCAGACACAAAAACAAACAAAACAAACTTCAATCCATATCTCACATCACTTAAAAAAGTACTCAAAATGAATCAAAATCTAAATACAAAACCTGAAACTATAAAACTTCTAAGAGAAAAAATAGAAACAAAACGAAACAAAAAGGACAAAATCTTGGTGACCCTGAGTGAGGCAAAGAGTTTTTAGATAGGACACCAAAAGCACCATCCATCAAAGAAAATATCAATAACTTGGGTTACATCAAAATGAATAACTGTAGAAGTTACTGAATTGTCGAAATTCAAAAACACTGTTGAGAGAATGAAAAGGCACAGCTTAGGAGAAAATCTCTGCAAAGCATATATCTGATAAAGGACTGTTATCCAGAATATATAAGGACCTCTCAAAACTCAGTGACAAAACAAATAATTCAATTAAAAATGAGCAAGAAAACCCAAAATAATCCACCAAAAAACCGTATAACTGATTCATAAATTCAGCAAAATTGCAGAATATAAAATCAATGCATAGAAATCGGTTGCATTCCTATACACCAACAATGAAGCAACAGAAAGAGAAATTAAGGAATCGATCCCATTTATAGCTGCACCAAAAACCATAAAATACCTAGGAATAAATCTAACCAAAGAGGTGAAATATCTATACACAGAAAACTATAGAAAGCTTATGAAAGAAATTGAAGAAGACACAAACAAATGGAAAAAGATTCCATGCTTCTGGATAGAAAGAACAAACATTGCTAAAATGTCAATACTACCCAAAGCAATCTACATATTCAATGCAATCCCTATCAAAATAATACCAGCATTCTACACAGAGCCAGAACAAATAATCCTAAAATTTGTATGAAAAGACCCCAAATAGCCAAAGCAATCTTGAAAAAGGAA